ATATTTTGAACCAAGTACTTTAATCAATAAAACTGTCTTGCCTGTCTGTAATTGCTATTTAAACTAAATACAAAAACATGAAAAAAATTTATTGCAAGTTTAGTCTTCCAACAAATGATGCCAAAATATTTACACAACACTTTATCAATTCCTGAATAAATCTTATTTATTAGCCACACATAAGACCTTCCATGAATAAATGACAATGCACTTTTTCCTAGTTTTTTGAAGTTGGTTTGGGTATTTTGGGGGGAGTGTTTTTTTGTTTGGTTGGTTGGTTTGGTTTGGTTTGGGGAGGTTTTTTTGTTGGGATTTTTTTGTGGGGGGATATTCTCTCTCCCATGGTTTAATTTCCCAATATTTCTAAGTTTCTTCCCAAAGAATATTTCTTCCTTTCAAGCTCGTAGCCTGAGATACCCAAGAAGAAAGAAAATTCAGAATTTTCAGAAATTCAGAAAGGCAAGAAATTGTTCAATAGCACAAAAATTCCAGTCAGAGAGATAAAATTCTAGTCAAGATAAAAATCACTGTAGAATCAAAACTGAATTTTTCAAGTTATTCTTAAAAGTTTTGATTGCCCCCCAGTACTAGGCACTAGTATTTTAAAACACTTTATTAATAGCTGTATATTTGCAAATATGGTGCACCAATACAAATTGATGTCTACTACCAAACTTGCTATCAAAATAAAATACATCTTAGAAGATTTTAATGAGCAGAAAAATTTTTACTGCCATCCCAGTAAAAGGAGAGTATGAACAAACAGTATGTATATCTTATGCTCATTGAGCTATAAGAACCATCAATTAATTGTAATTCTATTTAAGACTGTTTTAATGACTTCTGAGCAGGGGAAGCCTTTTTTCCTTGCTGGTAGCTGTCCAAACAGATTCAAAGTGATGTCATCATGTTCAAGACACATTAACATCAACCTGACACTTTAATCAACTCTTCAATGCTAATCAAGTAGTGACAAGTGGAAGCAATTTATCAATTTCTGATTTAGAGGAAGTAAAGCAGGAGTACCCACTCACAAAAAAAAAAAAAAAAAAAGAGTCCTTGTTTGTGTGCTTTGCCTAACACCTTTCCTAAAACTGTAACACCAGTACAAACCTACATCTAGAGCAACCATTGCAGCAGATGGTACATGATACATCTCAGACAGTAAGGGCAATGTGTGGTGGTATCCACCAGGTAGATTGACCTCACTTGCCTTGTGTTGAGGTTTTCCTCTTACTTCTGGCCTGCACTTCCTATATTCTGTCTAGGGATAAGCAGGGTACAGTTTTAACAGGGATTTAGAAATAAGACTTCTGTTATTACTAACTGGAAATGCATGGCTAATTCCCAGTACATGTGATAGAAAGACGACCTGAGGGTCTCTTCTTTATTCAGCAACAGAATAATTTTATTTCAAAACCTAAATGGAACTCTTGAAAAATTCTGAATTAAAAGCCTTATTTGGGTCTCTTTTGTTAGGATTGCCCTCAACTGTGGTGGGACTGCAATCTTCAAAAACAGGCAAATCAATTAACTCACTAGACTTTTCCCAGTTTTGGCACCAGATACAGAGAGGAGAAAGCAAAAATAACTTCCATAGTAGTTTCTTACTGCAATCACATAAACCACAAAGTAATAACCTGGATGTAGTGAACGGATATTTCGTATGTTTTGTCTTGTATTTCTATGGTGAAATAAAAAGGACTACTTCACAAGTAGCTCATCACTATATTTCAAAATAAGCAAATCACTGTATGTATAGGAAGCCAAAGAATATTTTATAGCACATGCTTTTTTGTTTGTTTTGAATAGGTGGCACATCTTTAGAGAGTTACTGGCTAAACCAGTTTCCCAGTTTCAAAGGGATAAATGGAGGATAGATGCATGCATTCAGAATTTCATATGACAGAAATTTGATATTCGATTCATATTTTAAAACTCATAACTAACAACTGCAATAAAAATGAAACCTAAATAAAGAAGAAAAAATTGCCATATATAACATTGCTTAAGAGTCAGTGATTCTCAAATTTCCAGCTTCATACAGCAAAAAAATAATTAGCATGACAAAGCATGACCAACAGATGCAAGTGAAAATTCATATTTAGGAACACACGTGGCTCTAATTGTAATTGTCCCTCTCTCCAGGAGACAACAGCCTTCCACTTTAAAATGCAACAGAAGTGAGGTGCAATCTCAAGTAAGACTAGGCAAGTCAAATATCTAGTCATTGAAACCTGTCCTGTGAGATCCAAAGACAAATTGTTTATTTCTCTCAACATTCAACGAAACATATACAATAAGGGGGGGGCGGGGGAAATGAAACCTGCTTTCCAAGGTGTAACTCAGTCCAAACAAGCTGGCTTCCAAGCAATAAAAAGTTGTAAACTTTGTCTCATCCACTGTTTCTCAGAAGGATTTGTTGTAATACCTGTTTTGTAAATGTTCCCTAGCAGACTGTGATGTAGTCAAGGAATTGCAGATTTATTGCAAACTACTTTCAAAGCATACAACTGTTCCCTACAATAGTGGGCACTGAAACCTCTATTAAGCAGTGACAGTTTAGCTCATGTGCACAGGAAGAAAAATGACAACAGTGTTCAAGATCCGTTATCACTCTTTCTAGGGTTATAAAAATTTCTTGCAGATAATATTGCTTGTGAAAAGAAAATTAAACTCTAGTTTTGGAAATCTGTGGGTGAATAACTACGTTCCAATCTCTCACTGTGTTTCAGATGACACATGAACTTTGTTACTGTAAAATACACCTGGTGATGATTTTGTGTTTATTGACATGAAATCTGTGATTTTTAGGTATTCTCAAGCTGTTATCTCTGAAAGCATCATAGAATCATAGAACAGTTTAGGTTGGACGGGACCTTGAAGATCATCGAGTCCCAACCTCCCTGCCATGGGCAGGGACACCTCCCAGCAGACCAGGTTGCTCAAAGCCCCATCCAGCCTGACCTTGAACCCCTCCAGGGATGGGGCAGCCACAGCTTCTCTGGGCAACCTGTTCCAGTGCCTTACCACCCTTAAAGTGAAAAATTTCTTCCTAATATCTATTCTAAATCTACCCTCTTCCAGTTTGAAGCCACAACCCCTTGTCCTATCACTACATGCCCTTGTAAAGAGTCCCTCCCCAGCTCTCCTGTAGGCCCCCTTTAGGTACTGGAAGGCAGCAATGAAGTCTCCCAGGAACCTTCTCTTCTCCAGGCTGAACAACCCCAACTTTGTCAGCCTGTCCTCATAGGAGAGGGGCTTCAGACCTCTTATCATCTTCGTGGCCCTCCTCTGGACCAGCTCCAACAGGTCCATGTCTTTCCTATGTTGGGGTCTCCAGAGTGGGACACAGTGCTCCATGTGGGGTCTCACCAGGGTGAGACTAAGAACGTATTCTACCTAATTGTCAGATAACTTTTTGTTTTCATGGCAGGTTTTCACAAGATAAGGGACAACCACTACTGCTGATGCAGAATTACGGTCCTCCCTGTAATTTTCTAGGCTTCTGCATCCCTGGTAATTAATATGGTAGCCAAACCCAAAGAATCATGAATTTCTCATGAAATGAGAGAGCTGCATTGCACATGCAGCTCCCTCTCTCAAATAATGTACATTTCTGTCTGTCATTATAATTTTATTAGATACTTAAGTTGTACCTTTCCTAATGAAGTCATAGCCTGTCTTCTTTTTTAGGTTAACGGGCTGTATAGTAACGTTAACAAGCATGTATTTTAAAGGGACATAAGTGTCCTTAGGAATACCATCTAAAATGTTAAATTCAACAAAACAACAAAACATATTAGTGTTATGATGACAACCTCATATCAAAGTTCACATGGTGTATAAAAATAGCATAACGGAGGCAAGTTTTTGTAACATTTTAACAGCAAAGTATCAATTCTCTTCAAACAAAAACTAAGGAAATGGCCTATCTCTTCCCTGTAATCCTGCAATTAAGGTGCACTTTACCACTTATTAAAGCCAGAATCCCAAAATAATCCTCTAGGTCTGTCAGTCAAGCACACCATATAAGAATACGAGCTACTATGATTCTTCCCCCCATCATACTGACATTTCCATTTTCATCCCTGTGTCATTTATATAAGCTGCACACAACCGTGGCCATGAATTTTAAAGAGCTCAGGTCACATTAGGGTCTCTTTCCTCTTGATGAGATTTTGAAAGAGGAGAAAGACTCCATACTTGAAATTAGAACCCTAAATTAGAAAAATACCTTAAAAATACAGATCCTATTTCATTTCTCTTCCCCTTTCTAAAAATATGCAGCCATTTTGAATGCTGAAATATCTTTATTGGATAATGATTTTTTCCTGATGATGCTCACAGAAAAAGATAAGTTATTTTCATCTTGAAATACAACTTAAATACTTACTTTTGAAATACAATTAAAGAATACTAAGCAGTATATGCATATTTTTATATATATATTATGTTTTACATAGTTTAGAAAGAATTTATTCAAATTCTCTGCTAAAGTCTGTTACAGCAATTCTGGAATTGCATTGCATGTAATATAAGCACTACCATCTCGCACAGCATGTTATTTGCCTGAACCGTATTTTGGGACACACAAAAATCTTTTCAGTACTCATCTCTGCCTGAGGCCAAAACCATGTAAAGAAGAGCTGTCAAGAATAGTTTGTATTAAATGAGAACACAGCATAGAGAAAGAATGGATCAAAAAGTTATAATATGTAAGAGTTTTGTTTCACCTCCAATTCCATTTCTGAAACTCAGATCCAATCCCAATGGATCTCTCTAACTATGGCTCTTACTAATTCGTAAGATGAAACATATGCCTAATAGATCACATCTCTGAAGTACTATTGAAAGAAGAAAAAAAACAGAGAGTAACAGCAAATCTGTACTAACAATGGAGATGGAAATTATGTTTGGAGGTTATTTGTTTTTAAGAATGGGACACAAATAATAAGCTTAGTCTTAAAAGAAAATCTCTTTGTTCATGTGCTACTTACAGCCTTCATAAATATCTGTTGGTATGTGGACTGCTGCATGTTGGTAAGAAGTTTGCCGTCGGAAAACAGGATCTTCTTCAAATACTGGCCTGATTCTCTGGCTGCCAGATTCAGTGTCGTTCTTTTCAGGCTTTTAAAAGAAAGACATGTAAAGGGCAAAATATTACAAAGTATCCTAAACCACATTTGCCTTCACATTTGCCTCTTTTTACATAACAGGCTCCTTTCTTTTGTAGCTAAGATTTTGTATTTGCGTATAAACACACTTACTTGCTCCAGGTTCAGAAATATTTATGTATACTTTATTTTGAATTATGAGGTACCCAATGCAATTCAATGAAATGAAAAGCTACAAAAGAAAAGTGAAAGCCTAACACCTTACACACCTAAACTTCGTAAGTGCATGGAATTTTTACACCCATAATGCAAGGCAAATACTTTACCTTTTATTACATGTAATAATTTGTACCAAATCATAAATACTGTATATCTTTTTTTTTCCATTCCATAGATTATATAGTAAATCACAAATCATAAAATGATACCACTAATATACATGTCATAAATAAATTTTTGAGAAACGGTGGTACACATTCAGACAAAGAAAGGAAATTAAGCCTTCTTAGAATTTCTGTTTGACACAGGTTTTGTTTATTTGTTTGTTTTAATAATAAGTCTCGATGAAATCTTGTACTCTCCTGGTTACAGCTGCCTGGGTGCAAAGGTTCCCAAACACTCAGGCGCTCACCACCACCACCACCACCACCTCCTGTCCTCTCTCTCACCTGTCTGCACCCCAGCTTCTTGATTCCTTCCCATTCACTCGGTCATCTGAACTAGTTTTTAAAAATTTTGAAAAGCAGAGGCTTTTTCTAATTCAGCTACAAAAATGCCATGAAGCATGGAAACCAAGGAGGCGGTGCAGGCCAAAGGGGACATTGCAATGCCTTCACCTGGCTCAGCTGCAGCTGGAACAGGAGGCCCCGTGGCACGAGTAGGCTGCCGCTTAAATCAGTAATGTATCAACTGTGATACTGAATGGTTACTCAGGCCAGCAACTGTAGGCAATTATAATGATATTTTGAATACTACAGAGTCATCAGTTTTTGAAAATGTGTTATGCTTGAAAAACGGTGCTAACGAAGCCCCTGTCTGGTCCGGCAGGCAGGTGTGTGCCGAAGCTATTCTTTACATACCACCAATGTGTCTTATCCCCTGTCAAAGTATAGACAGCTAAATTTTAACTTACTCAGAAATTAATCTAATTAAACTTTATATGTTTCCTCCTGCTTCATGACAGGGTTACAGACAAATTTTGTACCTAGTATAGGTTCAAATGTTGCCTGAAGTAAACAGCAGTCTCAGATGGGTTTCAAGGAGGTGGTTTCCTTTGGAAACACAAAAGGCAGAACTCATCTAACCTTTGACATCCGTGGGTTTCAACAACATAACAGTGTTGAGCTCATCACCCCAGGCTGCCTTCCTAGGCAGTGAAGAGAAATGGGCATTTTTAGAGTGCAATTCATCTCATCTCAATTAGACACCTATTTTCCCGTGACATGAATCATGCCTTAGAATTGCCTCCTTCTTTCCATTGACTATAAAGGGAGCCCTAGGGCAATTAGCCTAGATGAAGTCTGCAACACAGCTGTCTAGAATTAGGTGCGATGAATGTCACAATACAAGTTTATTAAACCTGTGGAAGAAAAAAAGGTGGGTACTAATTTTGACTACTTTTACACAGCATGGCTACTACTATATTTTATGCTAAGAAGTTAAACTTATTACTTTGTACTTAACTCAACTCTGGTGGATGAGACAGAAAGGAACACGTAAGTCCTGAGATTCAAGTAAGGGATGATCTTTTTTCTTTAATCAAATGTATTACCAGGTAAAATCCAGGTATATCATGGCATTAAATAATCTAAGTTGATAAAGTGTATAAATTACCTAAAAACATTCTTCTCCTTGGAACACCTAAGACCAAATGATGCCTTTTACTTCCACATGTGTGGTATTATTTTCATTAATAGTTCTAGCGGGCTCAATGACCTGCTGTTATGGAGGTTGCCAGAGGACTTCTTAATATCATACTTTTGCATTTAGATGCTTTTAAGACAGTAGTATTTTAGTTTTGAATGTGGATTAGAAAAGCAGCAAATACTTGTACAATGCAGCCTGAAATGTTTTGATCCAGCACACCACTCAATAAATCTACCAGAAAGTAAAACCATGTATTGGATCTGGCTGGAATGGAGTTAATTTTCCCCATAGCAGCCCTCATAGTGCTGTCCTTTGTGTTTGTAGCTAGAAAGGTGTTGATAACACCCCAGTGTGTTGGCTGCCATTGAGCATTGCTCGCACAGCATCAAGGCTGTCTTCCCAAATGCCTCCTTGAATGGCAAGCAAGCCAGGGGTGGGCAAGAGGCTGGGAGGGGACATAGCCAGGACAGCCGACGCAAGCTGTCCAAAACCAAAAAAAGCCCTCTTCAGCTATGCTTTTCTCAATTTCATCGATTCACCTGCTCCAGCTGAACTTTATTTTATGTTTACACCTACTGCCTTGATGGAGGGCAGTGGATCTATCAGAACTACATAAAATAACCTAGAAGCTTTTGCATCCCAATTGTTGACTTTTCCCAGGAGTGTTTTGAGATGTACAACTCTGATATTGAAACAATGCATCTATCTGCTCCCCAAAACCCTGAGGCACCAAATGACAAAATCCTTTAAAATGTCCGTAGTTTCCTTCACAGAGGATTATTTTTTCTATTAAATCTACAGGTGTCTGTGCTGGTGCTGCATGCAACAGGCAAGTATCAGAAGCATTACAGGCAAATTAGCATTGCAAATAAACATTGCACCACCTCTTTACCAGCAAGACTAGTGCTGTGCTTTACACATCCGATGTTTATAGGGGATCCTTCTATATAAAGTAAAAGCTATTTATTTTTCATTTGCCAAATTTATGAATTTCAAGTAACCTACATCTAAATTAGGGAAAAAAAAAAAAAAAAAGATTAAAAAGGAAGACCTCAATGTTAATTATTTTAGTCTGGTATTTCTATCAAAAGCCTGACAGATTGTGGCATTGGTTGGTACAGTTTTAATACCCGTTTAAACTTTGTTTTCAAGAAAGTAGCAAATCACATATTTTGAAGGAAAGTAATCCAGCATGTGAATATAATTAAAATCCAACTCCAACCAATTTCTCTCTCAAGTCAGGAGCTGAAATGCAATCAATACTGGCACCGGAAAATCCCACAGGAGATAGTGGCTGAAGATTAATTTTCTATCTATTCAAACCTGGCCTTCACTTATTGAATTACATTGTTACCTACCACTGACAGTCAGCAAAATAACTCACTCATTTCTCTGCAATGAATCTCCAGACCAATTTCTCCCTCCCTTGTGAGGCAGATAAAATCCATTTCTCTTTTCAGTTCACATTTGTGCCACTTTAAGGCTTTCTTTTTTTTTTTTTTTTTTAACAAATAAAGTATTTTTTTTGTGTGCGTGTCTCCTGTTCACCATCAGACTAAAGGGAAATTGATATAGCTGCTAAAATTCAGGTAAAGTGGGTTCTTCTGTAGCTGTTCTTTATGATCTTGGATAAATCACTTTTTAGTATGATCTAAAATAAACTGGAGGTTAATTTCTGGTTTTTTGGAAGCCAAATACATAGCAGAAATAATGCCACTTCTCTCTCACGGTCTTTGTGACTAGAAATTAATCTATGTACATGAGGTAACTGGAAGCTTTATGCCCAGAAGTATCACTGAAAGATGCATATAAAAAAGCAAACAACCACTAAACCAAAATGAAACAAGGTCACTTCCAGAAATTCTGACGTAGTTTAGCTGCCCATTTCACTGCAGCCAAATGTATCCCAATTCCTTTCTACAGCATTCAATTACTTTTCATCATCATAAAATGAGGAAGACAAGTGGGGTTTGTATCCCTTCCTAGTAAATAAAATAAGAAATATTTTTTTTCCACAAATATAAAACTTATTGGTTTTTGCTTCCTGCAGCTGCTGAAAACTGAAGATCAGAAAACTGATACTAATTAAAAAAAAAAAACAAAACAAAACCAAAAACCTGATACTAATTAAAAAAATATACCATCAATGAAACACACAAAAAACCCACAACCAAACTGAAGCAATCTTCAGTTGTTTTCTGAAGGCAGACTCTTCTCAGGAGCAATGTAGAAGTTGCTCAAAGAATCAGAACAGATTTAGCCTCAGGACAAAAGAATAAAAGGTAGTTTTCTTCTTTTAATTCCTGAACTGATATCCAGCAAGAAACAATGGCACCCGCCTGCTTTCATACTTATGTAAAATAGAAAGGAATTGGTTGCTAGTATTTTCCATTGCCCTGGTATCTAGAGACTGTGTTTTGCATAAAACCTCGCTGTCCCTATCAATGCCATTTTAGAGAATGAATGTGGAGACGGAATTAGAATAATTACGGTTTTAGGGTCATCAAAATTCTTGCTCTGTCATTCCTTTCAGTCTTTCCTTGCAGATTTCCAAAAGTTTTATATTTTCATCTCTGTGTTTCTGCCCTTTTTTGATTTCTGAATATCTGTTGACATTTCTAAATGTAAAATTTTAAACAATTGAATCTCGGTGCCTTTGCTTCTTTTAGTCCACTCCCTGACCTACTCTGTACAAATGAATGCTATCATACACAAAAGAAGCATCCATTTTTTCCTATGCCTGGTTCCTTACTCAAAACAAGTTTTGCTGTTTTGTTGGTTTTTTTTTTCTCCCTGAGGAAAGTAATCCAGCAGAACTACATACACAGCCCCTCCAACGCTGCTTGTGGCCCCCTTGAAAATTTACAGCTGGAACTGACGGGGAGAATAAAATGAAATGTCGCTTGAAGCACACGGCTCAGCAATACGCCTGCAGCAAGCTAAGGATGGGAACGGCTCTTCTAAGGACAAGATATAGGGAAGTTAGTTTTGAAGAGGTAGCTAGAATGCATTTCGAATAGCTACAGCACTTTCATAGCATTTTAGATAATGTCACGAGTGCCTTGCCTTCTGATAACTTTTTCTATTTCTTTTTTGATAGATGTGATTTTCCAGCTGTGAGAAAACTGTCGAGCGTTTTTAGGTGGT